GGGTCACACAGAGGCCCCTCAGTCCCCCCTCCAAATCCCAGGGCCCCTGGCTGCAAGTGCTCTCCAGCGCCTCACTGTTCACACAGCCTCCCTCTGTCTGTCCATCCATCCCTCCTTTGGCCACCAGCCTCAGGTCTGGACTCCCCCTTCCCCTAGAAAGTCAAAATTGCTTCCCTTGGTTCCCCGCAGGCCTGTGGGGTGGAGGGAGGCGGGTCCCCTCCCCACAGCAGCACCCTCAGCCCTGATGCTCCACCCTTCGGGAGCCCCTGGCCCTGGAACCAAACCCGGAGGTTCAGTGCAGGGGCAGGGAGCAGGGGGAGGCAGTCCAGTAGGACCCCCATGCATCCCATAATCAGTCCTCCTACACCAGGTCCCTGGCCTGTTCAGAGAACCCTGCTCAAGGACAGCCTGGTCCCAAGCAGCCAGAGGCCATACCTGCAAACCACACAGCTATCAGGCGGATGGGGGTCTGGGGGCTCTTGAAGAGAACTATGCACTGCTTCAGAAACCAGGGGGCTTTGTTTGTCTCCTGCTGCAGCTATGAGAAGAGGTGGTAGGTGGCAGCAAGGGCAAGTTGCCAGGCCTCCCGCCTTTCCAGCCATCTTGACGCTAAACTCCAATGATCTTCTGAGTATTAAAAAAAAATCTTTCACTAACCTTTTACGTCTCCACCCCTTGTGCTCTGGCACCTGCCATCTTCTTCCCCCATGAAGCCTTCCTGGATTGCCCAGGCCACTGGCATCCCCATGTGTACAAAGCCCAATACCACCATACGGGCTTGATCCACAGCCCTGCTTCACCCCGGCCTTACCTGGCTCTGCTCTCTTGGTCCCTTCTCTCTGTCCAAGCATTACCCTGCCTACTCCTAGGTGGGGGTGCCCACCCTCAACACACGGGCACGATGGCCACTTGGCTGCTGGCTTACCAGGGCTCTGAGGATGGTAAACACATCGTGGTTGACAAAGACTGCTTTGAGCCTAGACCAGCCCAGGATGGTGGCTGTCTTGTAGAGGCTGTACTGGCAGATCTGGGGAGACAAGAGGCTCCAAATGAGGGACACAGGGAGGGGGGCTGACCGTCTCTGAGGTCAGAGTCTAACAGGTTTCTTCAGTGTCATGCGGAGTGAGCCCCCAGTTTACCTGCTAGGCCTTGACCTCTCACAACACCTGGGACCAACCTTGGCCCCTCGGCCTGGCCACTCACCTGGCGCACCTCCATGTTCTCGTCCTTCATGTGCAGCACCAGGAGGACTATCAAGTTGAGGATCTGGTGCCTCAGGGGGAAGATGAGGACATTCCTCTTGGTCTTGGTTAGGAGACTTGCATAGATCTGGAAGGCCTTCAAGCGCAGAGGCTGCGACTCCTGTGTGGAAAGGACACTTCTTCCCCAGTGTCCCAGGCTATGAGGATGAGAAGCCCTCTGGGAAAGCCCCGCCCACGCCCTCATCACCCAGCCCCCAGGGGAGACTTCACCGCCTCAAAGAAGGTGGACAGCATGAAGGCCAGCTGAGTGAGGAAGGAAGAGGAGTACTGCCACTTGAGGTCCTGCAGGAGGCGCTGCAGCGTCAGGAAGGTCTCCATCACAATGTCAGGGTTGGAGGAGTAACAGCAGTTGAGCACGTGGGGCTGCAGGATGCCCAGCCGTCTCAGCTGTGGAGTGGAGCGAGTCCCGAAACCATTCCCGCTGGCCGCTCCCACCGCCGGCCAGTCCCTCACAGGCTCTTGCATGCCTGACCTGGGACCGGCCAGCCAGTGGGTGGTAGATTGAGGGTCATCTTCTTCTACCAGCAGCCATCCTGTCACAGGAGAGCACTCGGGCAGGTGCTTTTTGTCCCTCGCAAGGAGACATTCTAGAGGAGGCCCCACTTCCACTACATCCTGTTCCCCTTCCCTGCCTTCCTTGTCCCTGATGATGATTCCAATCTCCAGGGACCTGTAGGAAACATCTGGGTTCCTGGGATTGGCTGGGTTAATCTCTCAAGTGGCCCACAGAACAACTCCCCCAAGGAGTTAAATACAACTCCTATAAGGAGTTAAGTATGAATGGCTCCACCCCCATCCTGTCCCTGGGGACTATAAGGATTTGCTTTCAATTCCAAGAGTATGTTCCACTCCATCTACAACTGCACCTAACATCTCCTGAGAGCATGGCCTTGGCCCCTGCCCCACTTACCAAGTTCTTGTGCTTTGCGAAGGTCTCCGTCACCTGCAGCAGGACTTTCACTGTGGCGAGCTCCTCGCTCTTGAACCAGCTTGCCAGAATATGGGTGGCAATGTCATCCACATTGGAACTCACATCCGGGCAGTGGAGCAGCTGCAAGAAGCCAAGAAAGACTGAAAGGTGGGCAAAGAGAACACAACTTAGAATCTAGATTTCTTCTTATTAGATTTGGAAGTATTATTAGAAAGGCCAAAGCTTAGTTAAAAGGCCAATTAATAGCCAAGTGCCAGTGGCTCACTGCTGAAATTCTGGCTACACAGGAGGCTGAGATTTGAGGATTGTGGTTCAAAACTAGCTCAGGCAGGAAAGTCTATGAGATTCTAATCTGCAATTAAACCACCCAAAAGTCAGAAATGGAGCTGTGGCTCAAAGGATAGAATGGCAGCCTTGAGCAAAAGAGCAAAAAGATATCACTCAGGCCCTGAGTTCAAGCCCGAGTACTGGTACAAAAAAAAAAATCCAGGCCTTGGTTGTGGTGGTAGCCATGCACAGATGATCAGAAATGTGTGTTGATTCATTTAGGAAAAGCTTATCAAGGAGGTGGAACAGGGAATTGAAAAACAGGGAATTTTCATGAGTATCTAGGCGCACGTGTGAGTATCTAGGCGCACGTGCACGCGTGTGCGTGTGTGTGTGTGTGTGTGTGTGTGTGTGTGTGTGTGTGTGTGTTGGTCCTAGGGCTTAAACTCAGGGCCTGAGTGCTGTCCCTATACGCTTTTGCTCAAAGCTAACACTCTACCACTTGAGCCACAGCTCCATTTCTGGTTTTCTGGAGGTAACTTAGAGATATGAGTCTCAAGGACTTTCCTGTCCAGGCTGGTTTCCAACTGTGATTCTCAGATCTCAGCCTCCTGAGTAGCTAGGATTAAGGTGTGAGCCATCAGCACCCAGCAACATAACAGTTTTATAACCTCTTACATTTTCCCCCCATATTTTCTAAATCTTCTACACATTGTGTTTCCTGGAAAATGACTGAATTCTACTGAGTTACTCAGGGATGATGATCAAAGATTAGTTTTCAAAGGTCAATCAGGGCTGAAGTGGCTGAAAGGCAGAGCTGTGTTGCTCCAGAAAGTCTGTCAGGGTGAAACTGCCTTGAAAGTCAAGAAAGAACCAGCTGGGCGCCGGTGGCTCACGCCTGTCATCCTAGCTACTCAGGAGGCTGAGATCTGAGGATCGTGGTTCAAAGCCAGCCTGGGCAGCAAAGTCTGTGAGATCCTTATCTCCAATGAACCACCAGAAAACTGGAAGTGGCGCTGTGGCTCAAGTGGTAGAGCACTCGCCTTGAGCTGAAGAGCTGAGGGACAGCACCCAGGCCAGAGTTCAAGCCCCATGACCAAAAAAAAAAAAAAAAAACAAAGAGAAAGAAAGAAAGGAAGAAAGAAAAAAGCAATGCCTCTAACTGAAGGAAACAGAATGATGTGCCATCAGAATGTCCCCTAGACCTTCAGTGAGGCCAGGACATGACCAGGCCACCACTGTCCCCAGTGGTCCTCCCTGGAGGATGCCTCCCAGAGGACCATCCTCATTGCCCTCTCCTCCCACCCCGCCCCAGGCACCTCTGCCAGCAGCACCAAGGCTGTCACGTGACTGGTACAGTCCAGGTCCTGGAGGGTCCTGATGAGGAGGCTGAAGATGGGGCGGTTGTGCCAGCAGTTCTTGACCACCAGGGATCTGTAGACACATGGAGCTCAGGATGAGGCCCAGGCTACAGGACTGGACCAAGAACACAGACGGTTCTCCAGCCAGAGACTTCACAGTCACAGCCCACCTGGCCAGCAGAGTGACTCCTTCGTAGTGGGTTTCAGGATCTATAAGCCGCTCCCAACCTCCAAGCTCCTGGATGTAAACCACGTGGTCCCCGTACCCTGAACTGCTTATCAAGGTCTTCAGGGTGTCTGTGGAAAAACTGGGGAAGGAACAAGAGGCAGGTGGGAAGTCAGCCTCTCCCTGTTTTCCTCATCCTCCTGGCCTCCTGTGAACCATGAACTGCAACCTGTTAGGACAGCCCTTACCCCAAAAACTACATCTGCCAGAGAAGAGCGTCGAGACCCTATGGAGTCTTCAGGTAAGATCTGGGGGCAGGCGGGGGAGGGGGAAAGGGGATGGAATTCAGGCCTGTGGGCCCAGAAGTCTTTTGATTTCACTTTGGTCCTGACTGTCTGCATCAGCCTAGTAAGCCAGGTTTTTAAGTCTGTTCTGAAGAATCCAGTGCACCCCGTGATGACTTGTGAGTGACATGGTAGGGGCGGGGTGTGTGTGAAAAAGTGGGCTGTGTCCAGGAGGCAGCACATGACCAGTGCTGGCCAAGGCCCAGTGTACCTGATGGGGTTCACCCACTTCGTTTCGTAGGGTTGATCTTCCATTGCTTCGGCCCTCCCTTCGAACACAAGAAAGGAGATCCGGAACAGCAGTGCTAGGAAGAGGGACGAGAAGAAAGTCTGCACCTCCAGGCGCCGGCTGGGCTCCAGCAGCAGCTCGTGGACGGCCCTGGTGGCCTGGAGGAGGAGAGAGAGGATGCCATCACCTCCCTGTCACCAGGAAGCCCCTTCGTGCAGGCGATCTTGAGTATGGGTTTGGCTTGCTCAGTGACCCCCATAGCGCTCATCGCTCATAAGGCGTTTTCTGGGTGAGACCCAGAACACAGCCCTCGGCCCAACCCCAAGACTCTGCCATTAAAATGTGCCATCCAACAGCCACAGCCAAAAGGTAAAGGTCCTCAGAGCTCAAGACAGCCAAGCACAAGGGGTCACCTTGCCAGCCCCCAGCCCCTCTGCCAGCCCTCGTACAATGAGCGGGGAGAGCTCTGGCCTGCGGCCCGACTCCTCTTCCACAGGTGGCTTCAGCCTCTGCAGCAGATGCTCCAGGATCAGCTCGTAGTCTTTGGGGAAGGATGCTAGGATTTCCCAAGGCTGGCGCACTCCTCTGCAGAGCCAGAACAGCCAGGTTAGACCAGAGATGCACACACTACTGGTGCCATAATGCTTTGGGGAGGGGCTCTGGCTCCTTCGCCCAAGCCTCCAGTAGTACAGCGCCCGGCTTGCTTCCTCCTAGCTCATCATCTCTCTTCATGGTCCTCTGTCCTTTCCTCCCATTCACCTTCACATCACAGCAGCCCTCCCCTCTTTGCTAACTTGTGTATAGATAAATCAGAAGATTTTCCCCTGGCCTGCAAGCCTGAATTAAGAAAACATCTGAGACCAAAGCTTATTAACCACACTTAAGTGCACCTGCTCAAGTCCTTGCTCAAGTCCCAGCCCTGGAGTTCTGTCCAAGCTTTCCTTACCAACCTATGCACACACACACACACACACATACACACAAGCACACACACACACACACAAGCACACAAGCACAAGCCCCACAGAGGACCACCACACAGGCCAAGTCTGAAGATTTTCTAGCCTCAACCCCTGGCAGATCTCACCATATCTAGTCCTGGCAACACCATACACAACTGCTCATGCATTCCTACAAAATAGCATAACAAAATTTGAAGCAATTCTGTTTAATATCCTCTAAAAGTCATGGCCATGTCTGTGTGTGTGTGTGTGTGTGTGTGTGTGTGTGTGTGTGTGTATGCATGTGTGTGTGCACATGCGTGTGCCCAGTCCTGGGGCTTGAATTTAGGTCCTGGGTACTGCTCTCTACCACTTGAGCCACAGCTCTACTTCTAGCCTTTTTTGCTGGTTAACTGGAGATAAGAGTCCCATGGACTTTCCTGCCCAAGCTGGCTTTGAACTATAATCCTTAAATGTCAACCTCCTGAGTAGCTAGGATTACAGGAGTGAGGTGCCAGTACTCACCTAAAGTAACTTTTAAAAAATTAACAAAAAGAAACTATAGTAGTATAGCCACACAATGTAATATCAGGAAGCCTTAAAATTATACTTACAAAAGGGTTTTAACATGGGAAATGCCATACAATGTTAAATTAAAAAAAAAACATACAAATTGGCAGACTATAGTCTTGACTATGTATTTTGTAACACTACTGTTAAGAGGTGGGAAAAGGGCTGGGAAGGTGGCTCAGTGGTAGAGCGCTTGCCTTGCATGCCTGAGGCCCTGGGTTCGATTCCTCAGCACCACATAAGCAAAAAGAAAAAAGCCGGAAGTGGCACTGTGGCTCAAGTGGTAGAGCGCTAGCCTTGAGCTGAAGAGCTGAGGGACAGCGCCCAGGCCCAGAGTTCAGGCCCCATGACCGGACCCAAAAAAACAAACAAACAAATAAACTTAATATGCTTTCCAATTATTTTTCTGCAATAAGTCATGCTACTCTTAAAATCACTGCTCTCCAAGTAAGTAACAAATTATTAAAAATTAAATAGATGGGGGCTGGGAAAGTGGCTCAGTGGTAGAGTGCTTGCCTTGAATGCATGAGATTCTGGGTTTGATTCCTCAGCACCACATAAGCAGAAAAATCCGGAAGTGGCTCAAGTGGTAGAACGCTAGCCTTGAGCTGAAGAACTGAGGGACAATGCCCAGGCCCAGGGTTCAGCCCCATGACCAACCAAAAAAAAAAAGAAAGAAATTAAATACATGCTAGATGCTGGTGGCTTATGCCTGTAATCTGAGCTCCTCTGCTACTTAGGAAACACAGGTCCTGAGGAACATAGTTCAAAGCTAGCCTGGGCAGAAAAGTTCATGAAATTACATCTCTAACATAATCAGCAAAATAAAAACCAGGGATGGAGGTATGGCTCAAGCGGTAGAACACCAGCCAAGCAAGCAAGCCAAGCAAGTGCAAGCTCCAAGTTTAAACCCCAATACCACCTCCTCCAAACAAACTGAATCCATTTTCAGAATAAGCAAGTCAAAGGGCCATTGGGGTTCAAGGCCTGCAGCTGGCAGTTCCTTACTTTTGTGACTGATCTTCTATCTTAATCAGCGTCAAGATGACTTCATCAGTGTAGGACTGGGCGAACATGTGAAAGATCTTCTTTATGGCATTCAGGGATGTGGTCTCTGTGATGTTGCTCATGTGGTAGTAAATATACTGGATGATCTCTGGCACCTGAAACGAGAAAGAGAAAGGCTCTTTCAGACTTTTTGAGGCCAGCTCCTCAGACACCCACTTGATCAATGGGGCTGCCCACGATGCTTGCAGAACTCCGACCCACTGCGCTCTGTCCTGGTCAGACACTCCCACGGCACTTAGGTCCCCACACTTTCAGAGGGGCAAATAGAAAACAATACAGTGGCTTATGCCTGCAACCTTAGCTACTTGGAAGGCTAAGACTGGGGAACTGAGGTTTAGGGGAACCCTAGACAAAAAGACCCCCATCTCAACAGAAATAAAAGTAGTAGCATGCATCTGTCATCCCAGCGATGGTGGGAAATATAAATAGGAAGGCTGTGGTCCAGAAATCAAGACTATGTCAAAAAAATAACTAGAGTGCAAAGGGTTGGAGGAGAGGCTTGTGTGGTAGACTGCCTGCCTAGAAGTGAAAGGCCCTAAGTGAAACCCAAGTGCTGTCAAAACTCTCCCAGTCAGACCTGAGTACTGCCCACACTCCCCCAAACAAGAGCAAGAAATAAAGCACATTCACGGGGGAATGACTGGACTGTGTCTGGACACCACATCATGAGCGACTTGGAGGAAGGACACAGTCCTTGCTGTTTACTGGTGTATGGACCAGAGACAGCCTCATGGACCTCGTGGCTCCTAATGTCACATTTCCTGGATTTGAATTTCACCTCTCAGTGAACTCACTGTGTGACCTCTGAAAAGGGTTCATGTGTATGTGTGTGCGCGCATGTATGTATGTGTGTGTGTGTGTGTGTGTGTGTGTGTGTGTGTGTGTGTGTGTGTGTCCATATTGGGGCTTGAACTCAGGGCCCAGACACTCTCTCTTAGTTCTTTTGCTCAAAGATGGCACTCTACTACACCCTCCACATCTGGCATTTTACTGGTTAATTGAGACAAGACTTTCTCTGATTTGTCTAATGTGATCCTCAGATCTCAGGCTCCTGAGTAGTTAGCGGTACAGGTATGAGCCACTTGTGTCCAGCTTATATAATTTTTGTTAGTTCAAAATACATTATTTTGTAAGTGATTCACAAGTAAAATGAGCGGTGGGTTCAAATAATGAGGTCCTCCATGTTGCTTCTGGCAGAGTTTGGCTGCCTATGGGCCAGAGATGGCTTCAGGAGGGATCCCAAGCCTCAGGTAAGAAGTGGAGTTTGGGGCCTCGAGGACCCCTTCAACTCTAAGAGCCTGTCACCAGCTGTCTGCTTGAGTCAGAGCGTCATCAGCTGCATGGCTTGCAGGCCACTGCGGTGCAAAAGGTCAGATCTGGAATGCAGCAGCACCTACGCAGAGACGCCACGAGCACATGGGGCAGTGAATGCGCCCATCGGTCCCCAGGATCTTTTACAATGATTTCATGAAGAGAACAGGTGAGACATTGTGCTGTCTTAATTGTCCTGAGGGCCAATTCCACCTCTGATAGATAGAGTATCTGTGCATTATTTTACTAGGTCAGTGACTTCATAAGTGTACACACACATAAACACAGATACACAGCTTTTAACTTTATGACAATCGCAAAGCAATACATGTTCAGTAGAAGCCATTCCTGAAAGTGTGAATTTTCTTATGTCCTTTTTAAAACGAATCCTTGGGTGTTGGCTGAGAGCAGAAGGCCCAGTCACAATGGACCACAGGGGAAACTCTGAGACTTTACAGTGTAGTGCTGCTAAGTGGGGGGACTGGGTCTACTAAATGCCTTTTTCATGTCTGGCATTTCCGCTTCACAACGGATGTGTTGGGACATGACGCCATTATGAGTAGAGAAGCATTTGTCTATGCCTATTTCTATTTCTTCTGCTTCTGTTATATGTCTCATTTCTGTTTCTGTATTTTTACCTTCACATCCACCTCTGTCGTCCATTGTGCCTTTGCCTCCTGAAGGTATTACGTGCCTAACTTATGTGCACGTCCTGGGAGCTGACAGGATGTCAGGAATCTCTCCTGGTCCTGGGAGCTCACGGCAATCTGCTAGAACTGGGACTCGGTTCTTCCCTTCCTGCTACAGATGGAGGCTGGATGACCGCCCCATCCTCACCTCACCCTCGCCATGAAAACGCCTCTGCATGATTGCAGAAGCTCATCACTTCGCCTTTTTCCTCTGCATGAAAACGCTGGAATGCCTTAAGCTCAGACAGGTAAGAAATAAAACAGAATTAGACTTAACAATGACAAGCTAAGAGACAAGCTAAGACAGGCACCGGTGGCTCACGCCTGTAATCCTAGCTACTCAGGAGGCTGAGATTGCAGAGCAAAGCCAGCTCGGGCAGGAAAGTCCACGAGACTCTTATCTCCAACTAACTACCAGGAAACAAGAAGTGGCTCTGTGACTCAAGTGGTAGAGTGCTCACCTTGAACAGAAAAGTTCAGGGACAGCGCCCAGGCCCTAAGTTCAAGACCCACAACTGAAAGGAAAAAAAAAATCCAGAAGAATCTTGAGCAGACTTTGGAGGAGCCCCGGGAGACTACCTTTCCGATTTCTGGGATCGTGTGTTTCAGGAGGACCTTAAACACTTTGGAGGCCGCCCGGGTGTCCTGGATGTCGGTACTTGCCATGGCTTCTATGGCCACGATGATCACATCAGCTCTCTCCAAAGGGGTCAAGTACTTCCTGAAGAACTGAAGAAGAGAAGAGCTGTCATGCCAGGGTCAGCATGCCACCCTGGGACTCAGGCCCTGGTCAGCCCCTGCCTGTTCTGAAGTCCCCAGGAGGGATCTGTGGGGTACAGAGGACAGTGGCAAAGGTGTTTCTATTTTCAACTCGTTGTGCCAGTAGACGAGTCCGTTGGCAATGAGTTCAGGTATCTAGGGAGTTTACATCCTTCCAAAGCAAGGAGAACTGCCATCTTGGACAGCAGATGTCCCTGTGTCCTATGTGAGGCTTGCGCACTCAATGACACAGGTGACCACTTGGTGCCTGGTTGTGTTGCTGAGAGCTGGGAAGGACTGTGAGCAAGATGCCTGGCACAAAGGCCGGCAACTCAGTCCACTACTGGACCCTGCAGGGAGACCTGGGCCAGGTGGGAAAGGAGAATGGAGGCAAGCTAAGACAGGACAGTTACAGCAGGTACCAAGTCACCCAAGGCCTGGGGTGCCACGAGGCAGTTAAGACTTGAGAATAAAGACAATGGCGACTCGGTGCCCTGGAGAGGGGAGGGGGCATCAAAATGAGGTTTGTACTTTATTTTTTATGCCATTTCTGGTGCTTGAACTCAAGGCCTGGGCGCTGTCCCTGAGCTTTTTTTTTTTTTTTTTTGCTCCAGGCTAGCACTCTACCACTTGAGCCACAACTCTACTTCTGGCTCTTTGGTTGTTAATTAGAAATAAGAGTCACACAGAGTTTTCTGCCCAGGCTGGCTTTGAATCATGATCCTCAGATCTCAGCCTCCTGAGTAGCTAGCTAGGACTATAGGAGTGCAATACCAGAGCCCAACTCAGTAGTTTAGAAATAGTTTTTTGTCATGTCGAAGATGGTGTGACAGGAGCATGGATGGAAACAGGACTATCTGTGGGCGAGAAGCCATAGCAAGCTCCCATACTAGCAAGGGATGATGGTGGACTGAATCACAATAGCCAGGATGGGCTGTGCAGGGCAGACTTAGGAGGCAGAGTGGACAGACATGGTATTCAACTAGATGTCAGGAGGGGAGGGAGAGGAAAGGTCAAAGGCTGACTCCTAGCAAGAGTGGTTTTGGCAGCCTGAGCCTGGGACACCATACTTAACGTATCCTATACACCATTGCTAAATGGATATGCTTAGAGGTAGGCCATGGCTAAAAGTGCAAAGGCACGATCTGCAAGTGAAGAATACAGTTGACTACACTTCTTTCCAAAAGTCTCAGGACCTCAAACTTCAATCAAGTACAACCCACTGTGTGAGGCCTTGAATCTGGGGGATTACAACCCTAGAGGCCCCCACACAAACTCTGCAATTTCTCCTCTCCCATGCCCTCCCGGTTCCCTGGCGCAGGGCGCACAGCGGCAGGAGGGTTACCAGTGCAAGGTCCTGCATGCTGAAGAGCCACTGTCTGCGGAAATGTTTCTGTAAGTCCTTCAGGATCTCTTCTATCTTCCCTTTTACACCTCCAATCCAAAAATGGCAATTAAGGGGCAAGGCCTTAGCAGGGATGAGGAATACACACTACCCTGGTTCATCACCAAGCCTCAGAGAGACCCAAAGAGTCAAATGGATGAAATAACATTAGCCCACCAAAATGGAGAGTTAACTAGAACTAACCAGCATCCTGTACCATGTCCAAATGTAGCCTAACCCCATCACCATATCCCTATTGAACCTCTACAAGCCAGCCTCAGAAACTTCCTTTGGGAGGTATTTGCAAATTCTCCCTGGCCCCCTTGTGGATGTAGTTGAATGGATATTTGGTTTTCCCAGAATGGAGAGGGACTAGATCAAGGATCAGATTTGTTCCCTAAGAAAGGATGCTCCTGTCTCCTAGGCCTAGCAATAAGGATGGGACAGCTGATTAGTACTGTTGATCCTGTTGGTGGCTGTAAGGTTTTGATTTTGGGGGTTGTTACTGTTGTTTCTGCCAGTACTGGGCACTGTCCCTTAGCATTTTGGCTCAAAGCCAGCAGTTAATTGGACTTCCCGTCCAGGCTGCTTCGAAGTATAACCCCCAGATCTCAGTCTGCTGAATAGTTACGATTATAGGTGCAAGCCACCAGCACCCAGTTTGCAAATTCTCTCCCCACCCCCGACTCCACCCAAGAATCTCTTGGTTCAGCAATGGGTTTGGGAACTCATCCGGTAATTCCCCAACCTACTTGTAATTGATCATTGGTCTTCCCAGTTCTGGGCTTCTTGGCAGATTTGCTCCTATGCCCACACCAGAGGGCATGGTCCTTTGGGATGTGTCTGACACAATGTGGCATCTAATGCACACAGTACTCACTTGCTCCTGCTATTCAGTGAAGGGGGCGCTCAGGTTTGAACACTTACTTCTCTGAAGCACAAGGATTTTGAACAAGTAATGCAAGGCCTCTGATGCCTCCATGCTGACCTCATGGTTCGAGTGCACGCTGAGGAGACCCAAGATGCCCATCAATTTCCCAGTCATGGAGAAAAGCGACATGTGCTGCCAAGGAGAGGAAGGAAATGGTGACTTCACCAGCCTGAAAGAACTTTCTCCCTACTCCTCCCTCCACCAATCTCTCCTCTCCTCCACATTACGAAATCATTTGCCTCCTCTCCCTAGCTTCACATTCCTTCTTGCCCCCAAGAAAGTCTTAATAAGTACCCAGGACCGGGGGCGGCCAGAGCCCTGAGACAAAGCAGCCATTGGGCAGTTGGACCCCTAGTCTAGACTAGGACCTCCAAGGCTGAGAGGTATGTGCTAATTGGAAGTCATTAGACATAGGACAAACCAAATGGAGGAATTAAGCCTCTTGTCCCAAAGGAATAGCAAAAACACGACAAGAGATGCTCTAGTCCCTCGCCCTCTGGCAGCCTGCAGATCCTCTTTCTCCCCAGGGCCCAGGTTCAGAGAAGCAGGGCTCTGTGGGGCCAGCCTCACCCCTTCCCCGAGTACTTACCAACAGTTCAGAAAAATTGCAGATGAACCTCAACAAGCGGGACATGGTGCCCAAGGCCCGGTTCTGCTCGTATTTTTTTTCTGACAGGGTTACCCAAGGCAGGATGATCTGGATGAGAAGAAAGATGCCCATCAGCACTCTGTGTGGCATGACCCTGCCTGCCTTCCCTTGACTCTGCATCTCTGACCACCGAGAACATAAACAGGAAGGACACTGGTAAGCTTGGTGAAGCTAGGGCGGGTTGAAGAGTCTGAGTTGAAGGATGGGTTTAAAGACAGAGCTGCACCTTTGAGGTAGAATTGCAAAGCAGAAGGCAAGGAGGATAGGAGGAGGTGGAAAATGGCCTTCTCTTGATGGCCTGCTTATACCAACCCATCTGCTCTGCCAGAGGCAGGGGTGAAGTGCCACAGGCAGGCAATCTGGCCACCGTAGGTAGATAACAACTTGCTCTATCTTCCTGACAAGACTGGGAGACAGTCCCCTTAGGTGGGAGGGCCAGAGTCCTGCTTGATATAAACTGTTGAAAAGTGTCCCAATCACACCACAGCCATACAACAGCAATGAGGCCTTTCTCCTCACCATGAGGACATGCATGTGTGAAAGAAAGAAAGTGAAGGAAAGGAAAGGAAAGAGAGAGAGAGAGGAGGGAGGAAAGGAAGGAAGATAGAAAGGGAGGGAAGGAGATAGAGAGAAAAGGAGGGAGGGAGGGGGAAAAGGAAGGGAAAGGAAGGAAATAAATCTCCACCCATATCTGACATCCAATACTAAGATTAATTCAGAGTTGATCATTTTCACTTAAAACCTAAAATTACAAGCTTATTGAGGAAAACATGAGAAAATACTTGAGACCTTCAGTAAAGCAAATGTGTATTAGATAAGACCGCATAATTACAACCATAAAGGAAAATAATCCTAATTTGCACTTCATCAAAGTGATTATTGCTGTTCTTCAAAAGACACATCTAAATGAATTCAAAGGCAAGCAGCAAAATGGCTTATAAAGAACTTTTGAAACTCAAAAAAATAAAGTAAAAAGAGACTAGAAGGCTGAGAATGTGGCTTAGTAGCAGAGTACTTGCCTAGCATGCATGAAGCCCTGGGTTCTATTCCTCAGTACCACATAAACAGAAAAGGCTGGATGAGGTGCTGTGGCTCAAGTGTTTGTGTGCTATTCTTGAGCAAAAGAAGCTCAGGAACAGTGCGCCCAGGCCCTGAGTTCAAGCACCAGGACTGACTGGCAAAAAAAAAAAAAAGTCTTAAGGACTTTCCCTGCCTGTGGGTACTTCAAACTATGAAAATCTCAGCCTCCTGAGTAGTAAGGATTACAGACATGAGCCACCAGGGCCCAGAACATGCAATGTTTCATGCAAAATTATATTGCCCTAATTGATGACTAGCCTATCCACAAAAGTTGGTTTCAAGGGACTCTTGGCTTTTCCCCCAATTTGCTCCTCCTCGGGGGATGGCAATTGTCATACTAAGAATATTTGAAAAAAAGATAAAGATAATTAAAGAAGGGGTAGCATTGATTAAGATGCATTGTACTTATAACCTGAAATATGGAAGTATAATCTATTTGTACAGCTACTATTAATAAAATAAAAAATAAGTTTTCTTGGGCTGGGAAGGTGGCTCAGTGGTAGAGCGCTTGCCTTGCATGCTCGAGGCCCTGGATTCGATTCCTCAGCACCACATAAGCAAAAAGAAAAAACCCCAAAGTGGCGCTGTGGCTCAAGTGGTAGAGTGCTAGCCTTGAGCTGAAGAGCTGAGGGACAGTGCCCAAGCCCAGAGTTCAGGCCCCATGACCAGACCCAAAAAAAACAAAAAGTTTTCTGCAATTATTAGAGCTTCCTGGAGGTACTCCAAGGAATAGAAATGTAGGCTGGCAGGGTGCTGTTGACTCACACCTGTAAGCCTAACTATTCAGGAGTCTGAGATCTGAGGATCATAATTTGAAGCCAGCCTGGGCAGATAAACCTGAGAGAGGGGGGCTGGGAAGGTGGCTCAGTGGTAGAGTGCTTGCCTTGCATGCATGAGGCCCTGGGTTCGATTCCTCAGCACCACATAAGCAAAAAGAAA